GTTTAAAGAATTTGCAATCATACAATAATAATTCATGAACATGCATTAGTGGTTATCAGCAAATTTCTGGCTCCTGCCTTTCACTGTGCATGAATTAATCATTCCTGCAAATCGTGCATCCTGTGCCATTTTTAGTCTGAAGGCCAAAAAGAAGAGCCAAGCAGTTTTAACTAATCGGAACAGCACAGAAGCTCTTTTACAGTAACAGACACCCTTTACATGATCCTTCATATGATCTCTATCCATACAGGGTCACTGAAACCCCAGCATGAGGACAGACTGCAAGGGACTGAAGTCGACTGCAGGGCTCACACACACGCGCATTTTACTGTTAACCTGGATAGCATGTCGTTGGCATGTCTTTGGACTGGAATCTAAAGTACCCAGAGAAAACCCATGCATGTCACGATAGTAGTCCCTCTTCCTTAAGGGCGCTCCGGCTCTGTCACTTCGGACCTAATTTTGTGCACCTGCCCCTTGTTCCAGCCTCCTTCCTGTCCCCCTTAAAAGCCAGACACCCACTCAGTTCGGGGCTCTGCATTTGACTCCCATATCGTACGAGCCCAGGACCTGTAATTGCCTGGCTCCGTTATGTTTTTAAGTTTCTGTTCCTGCTCCCATTCTCCCCACTGGTTCCGACCCGGTTCCTGTTTTTAACTTGTCTGTTTTTGGATGGACCGCCCAGTTTTGGACTTTGCCTGTTTTTGGATTCCCTGTTTGGATTACCTCTGGATTGTTTGCCCCGGACTCACCGCCCTGGACACCTGCGCACTTTGGACACACTCCCCTGTATTCATTCCTTTCTGCCAGAATGCTCTACTAAGCTTACTAAGGTAGCCTCAGTGTTTATCACCTTTATCTATCATAAGTACACAGTCCTTTCCATATTTAAAATATTATTTTAATATTTCAGTTTATAAACTGTATTTTGAAATACCAAAGAGTACTCTGTATGAGATTATGTTAGTATAGACATAAGAGTAAATGCTTTTCTTTGACTGGCTGATATTTTGACTTGTAATTTATAGCTGAAAACTATATTAGACTTCCATTCTCTCCTGTCAACAGCCCCTGTTTTCATTTGACTGCATCCTGGAAAAGACAGAATTTCAGTGTTCATTTGAACTAAAATAAATCCCATTGAAATCAATCTTCTTAAGGCAAAAAAAATTAAAAAAGGGGGTAAAAATGTAAGAGCAAAAACAGTACAGAAAAAATGTAAGCACCATTGAAACAAGGAGATTCCGTTATGTTCTCAATGATAGATTACGGATTGAAAAACTGGAACTATTTTTTTACATGAAGGTTTTTGGCTAATATTTTACATTTTAGCTGTCATGAGTCACACTCATTGCTTCTGAACCCAGAAGAAATTTTGACTTTTACTTACTGTATACAATATATTTTTAGCATCAATATTACCAAAATTCTCCCTCTGAGAAATATTTAAAATGGGAAAATCATTGTTTTTGTGAGTAAGGCAAACTATAAAAATTCTTTAACCTATTTAAGCACAGCATCTAATGATAACAATGGTGAAACACATCACCATGTAGTTTAATATCTTCAGATATAAAAGTTTTTTTTTTCAAAGTATATCTACAGAGTGCTCAGCAGAAATGATGAATTGTGATGTCTGAAAGTAAATAGGTCACAAAATAATTTTGTTTTTGCAGAAGATTTTTGTAGAAATGTATTATGGATCACTAGAACATAAAACTTTTTATTCAGATTTTGATATGCATGACTGATTGTTTTAGGAAGATTTATACTCCAAAGTTCATAATGTGGTTGTAATGAAGAAGGAAGAGGCTATAAAAAGATCAACAGCTTTTCAGACTGAGATAAAATATTACCTGTGGGATATACAGCACATTTAAACATCCCCACATGGACTGTTTTTCTTTTTACTTTTTCTTTTCCTATTTCTTCAGTCTACACCACTATTACAAGATAACAAAGTCTCTGAGTCCAGGTTTCTGACCTTTCCTGTAGTTTCTCATGTTCTCATATTTGAACCTGTCAGTAGAATGATAAGATTGTTGCGGTGGTCCCGGTCTTCTTAAAATCTGTGGTACAGCACCAGGAACATCTGGAACTTGATGTTCCACCTATCATCACTATGAAGCTCCTCAGGTACACTTCAGGTACCGTGTCTCATTTTTGTGCAATGGAGCATCTGCCCCCTGTGGATGAACTCGCATACTATAGAGGGGGTCTATGACCAGCAGATGCCCCATGTGCAGCAGAAGTCACGAACATCTACATGGTACCCTCCTGAGTAGAAGTGGGCCTTTAGCCTCCTCACAGTCTTGGCCAATTTAACGTTTCCTTTCAAGCACTTCACAGACTGCCTTTAGCACCCTCAGGATCACCAGCAGCCATTGTTGCTCCCTAGTGCCACACACTGCCCAGCTCTGGTAAAACACCCCATTGAAGATTGCTTGGGATGACATTAGGGCCACACGCCCTTTAACAGACTTGGAGCAACCTAACCAACCCATTCCTATTCCATTCAAATCCGTACCAGGGCCAGGTATGGATCTCTCCTCTGGTGTATGCTGAGCTTGTTAGCAGCAACCATGGAAACTGTAACCTTTTCCTCTTTGTACCATTCTGCCCGTTTCAGTGATTTCAGTTATTCATGCACGGATGCTGAGCTCCAGACTGATGTTTTACAGTGAAATAGTATTTCTCTAGCCTACAGGCACTATAGAGAAGCATGTTCAGAGGGGACCAAGAATGGCCTTCCATTGAGGTAGGGAAGAAAGTTTCTAATGACCACTAAAGATCACTTTATTAGCCATATACAATTTATTACATTAGGAATGCATCTTTTCACATATGCCAGCTTGCTCTCCATGAGACACAGACACACAGACAGACAGAGAAACCTGGGGTCAGAGAACAGGGTCAGCCATTGTACAGCGCCCCTGGAGCAGTTGTTAATGGCCTTGCTCAGTGGCCCAATGGAGTAGGATTCCTCTGCTGGCTGCTGGATTTGAACTGGCAACCTTCCAGCTACAGGCACAGATCCTTAGCCACAGTGCCACTGCTCTGCCCCGAAGTAGTTACTCTCAGGATGACTACCTAGCAATGCAGCAGAGCAGCCAGATCTACAAACCCTTGCACCAACCTGCAGTAGTGGGACGTGAGGACCAGGAACCTCTGGAGCTCCTTCACTGTGCTGGGGTGTGACCACATTGTCATCACCCTCTCCTTTTTAGGGTCATTAGAGACATTCTGGTGACTTCCCATATGCCCCAGGAACTGTATGTCCATCTGCAAGGACTGCAAGTCTTTGGACTGAGCTTCAGCCTTGCCTCCCAAATATATTGGAACACCAGCTGTAGGTTCACCAAAGAGAATGACTCAGAACTCTCACAGCCCCCTCGGCATGGGGAATGTGGTCTTGTGGTCAATCACTCCTCTGGTGCCAGCTCAACCTCCAAATAGCCACTTCTGAGTTCCAGGGAGCTGAACCAACATGACCTACCAATGTTCTCCAAGGTCTCATTGATCCTAAGTAGAAGATAAATGTATTTACTCATCATCTGATTACGGTCCCAGCTGTCCAAGCAGAATCAAAATAAGACATTCTTTTTAATTAGCACTGACCGAAAGGGCCATGGGATGTCTGACTGCTCAATGATCCCGGCATCATTCACGTACTGGAGCTCCTAGAGTGTCGGGGTAAATAGTGTTGCACCAGGTAGATTCTGTACCGCAAAGATGACCCGAAAGAACCACAGAAGCTCTTTAAGCTGCTGCTGCTGCCTCAGGCAGAGGTCATGACAAATGTATCACAAATCCACAATAGCCCTCTGTGACAGAGGAGTCTGTCACCGGGTACAGATAGCACAGCAAATACAGCATTCATACACCTCCTATTGAGCTGTTGCTAGATAAGTTCCTTAGGGTGCACACTCAGGGCTTGACTAGTGACTGCTATTACTTAATTTCATATATATTCACTTAACATAAACATACCTTTTATCATATAAATTGAAATACCTAAACACAGGTATGAGTGAGTATGGTGGTAATGGAGAGTGCTCTCAAAATGGATGTTACTCACTGTTTGTTTGGTGTAGGTACTTCCAGGGTGAGTCAGCTTATGGTGGAGACAAGCAGGATTTACCCTTATTTGAATAATTATAAGTTATTATAACTATAAGTTTTGTTTCTTTTTTTTTGGGGGGGGGGGGGTTGTTTTCTGGTGTGGGGGACTGGGAGCACTGTAAATAGACTGCACTTGTTTTGCTTGGGTGTTTTTGTGGCGGAGCCAGTCTGAGATAAAACGGACCTACTTTGGCCTTGCTCAGGCCACTGTGTGACACCCTCTCTAACAATACCAGAGCTAGTAAAATAGAAAAGAGGAACTAAAGGCACTCTGCTCATGAGTAAGTAACGAGACAAAGAGGGCATCTACCTTTAGAATATCCAATAAACTCTAACCTATAGTATACAGTATGTCCACATCAACTCAACACTGACAGGTGACCTGTATTGAACCCAAGAGACTAGAACTGTGAGACAACACTGTTAACCACCTCACCATAGTGCAACCCAGTCTGCTCTTAAACTAATTCAAGAGCCTTGGAGACATCCTGACTGCACACAATTTGAGCAATATTAACATAAATGGATAATGCAGAAGTGGTTTTGAAAATGAGCTTATTTATGTTAGTTCTTCCATTAGACCCATTAGGACACTGGTTAACTGGCTGGAAACTGGATCTTCTCTGTAATGGCACTGCAATGATTCTTCATGTAACCATTTTCCAGCAGTGTGTTTCTTTTGGCACATCACGCTGTGAGCTATGTGGATCTAACTTGTTTGGTAATTTCTCTATGCAAAGTATTTCTCTTACTTTTATTTCTTTCTGATACAGGTTTCATAATGTACACAATGGAATACAGTAATTTCATAGAAAACCAGATAGCAAGGTTTCAAGCACCTGCATTCAATTCCCTTTGTGTTTAAATCAGCCTCGTACCTCTGTTTGAGTGTTATTGTCATTATCCTCATCAGATGGCATGAGTGGGAGCCGCTCTGAGTCAGACGTATCCTGGTCCTGGCTTGCTCTGTTGTTATCCATAGGCTTTGGTTGTGATGGCCAGGTCTGTCTTTTCCATCTGTGACTATAAAGCTTTACATCTACAGAAATACTCTCCTCCGTGGAAGGTATTCCCTGGACATACATGTATGGTACTCCTGAAAAAGAGAGACAGACAGTGTATTTGCAGTAAATCCACACAGACACATGGCTCTTTTGAAGTGCTTGTCATGTTCTTTATGTTGCAGAAATAAAACTATTTTGCTTTAATTAATTAGACATGGATCATAAAGGGTCTAATATAGATTTTAAAGATATTTCTGGAATCAGTCCAGAGAAATACAACCAGATGGGGCTTAATGGAATGTCCTAAACTGACAGGCTGAAGCAACTAAACTTTATCAGTCTTGAACAGAGAAGATTACAAGGGGATTTGATATTAGTATTAAAAATCCTCACACTGACAAATTCAACACATTCAAAGTCAAATATTCAACAATACATCTCCTTAGAAATGAGGAGAAAATTGTTTGAAAAGATAAAAAATCATGCTAATGCTAAATTAAGAGTACTATGCTGATCAACAAAAAAATGTTTGACCGTGTTACACACCTGCTTGTACATTTTTTAGTCAGGGGCTTATGAATATACAGTAATGAAAAAGAAGAGAATTTCACCCTATTTATTGTCAATACGGCTACCTACGGGTTTGTTTTTAATGTTTGTTGCTCTGCTCTATGTCTTCTGAGTGTCAATCACAGTCACTTGTGTGCTCAGGTCCATGCTTTGCCATTCCCTAGAAAGTGGCAAACTCTGAAGCACCAGAACATGGTTCGATGCACCTTCTACTGTGGCAGAATTCTATATTGTCTAGGCTTCAAGGGGGTGAAGTGACCTCTAAAACGTGTTCATTGCAGTTCTGCCACAGTATCTACAGTGTAGACAATAAGATACTGAAACCCTAGAGACCTGACAGGGAGCCTAGAGAGTGGAAAAGTTTAAAAAAAATGAATAGTAAAGAGTAGGTCTAATTGCATATATTAATAGTATTTAAAGTTACTAACAGTAAAATGTTTTTTAAGTTACCCTTTTTGCATTTAATCAAAATTTGTGTCTTGAAAATGCATTGAAAGTTAGTAAACGCATGTTACTGTTAAAATCTCTGGTACCTCCATTGCCCCTCATAATGTGCTCTCTCTCATTCACATTGAACACTAGCACCTCATTGTTAAAAATGAAACACTGAGTGGAATGCATTTTCATTTTAACAAGACCTATACTGCATTTAACCAGACCTAAAATCTGATAGTAAATTCAATGAGTTAAAGATGTATTTTTTAAACTAAAATTTCAGGTATATGAACTTCTTTGAAAGACAAATAATGACAGCTACTCTGTTATCATGATTAACTGGTACAGACAGGACTCTCAGCCCCTCATGTCACAGAAGTCACCATCATCAGTGGTCTGAGGAGGCATCTGTAAGTGTAGTTGGGAACCCAGAATAACTCTCTTACTACTGGACTAACATTCTTCACAGTGTGTTCTTCAGACATAATCATAAAATATAAGACAAAAATGTATGTAGGAAGTGAAACAAATGCAAAAGATGGGGAAAGGTACTGTATGTGCTTATAACAAATGTGTGTTTATCAGTATTCAGAGAATATAATGAAAGGGGCGTTTTCTTTTCCTGTTTTACATGGGGATTTCATTATGAGAGCCAGCTGCAACCTTTTAGTTGAGTTCTGAATTGTTCCATTATTCTCAAGCAAATCAGCACTAGTGCAGAAAAAAAAAACTTTTCACTATTTTTGTGGATTTTATATAATAATCAATTCAACCAATCATGGATTAGCTCTTCTTATTTCTGTTATAGTGTTTTAGATAGCATGCAACAATTTCCAGATTTAAAAGAAAAAGGACTGACCTCCTGTTAAAATAATAATAATAACAATAATAATAATAATAATAATAATAATAATAATAATAATAATAATAATAATAATAATTGCTTACACTTATAAAGCGCTTTTCTGGACACTCCACTCAAAGCACTTTACAGGTAATGGGGATCCGCTCCCCCCCCCCCAGTGTGCAGCCCCCCCTGGATGATGAGACGGCAGCCAATGGGAAATTTGGCCAGGACGCAGGGGTTACACCACTACTCTTTTCAAAAACCACCCTGAAAGTTTTAATGACCACAGAGAATCAAGACCTCGGTTTAATGTCTCATCCAAAGGACGGCCTCTTTTTAGAGTATAGTGTTCCCGTCACTATACTGGGGCATTAGGACTCACATAGACCGCAGGGTGAGTGTCCCCTGCTGGCCCCACTAACACCACCTTCAGCAGCAACCTTAGCTTTCCCAGTAGGTCTTCCATTCAGGTACTGCCAGGTTCACACCTGATTAGCTTCAGTGGGTTACCAGTTGTGAGTTGCAGGATGATATGGCTACTGGCCTATCACCCTAATAAAAATACACTGTTTCATCTAATATGTACACCTGGTAAATAATAAATACACCTAATAAAAAATACACCCAGTAGAAAAATACACTGTTTCTACTGGCCAGGTCTTCACCTAGTGGTTTCTAACTCAGTTAGCCACTTTTCTGACTCATAATTCATCATTTCAAACAGCCACTTTTATTATGGCATACAAAATGACACCTGCTTTTTTTGCTAACGCATATTGGCAATTATTCAGCAATCAATTAGACAGTCAGACGCACTCATCCGTAAACTTCTGACAGCAAGATAAACATGGAAAATTCTCAGCCGAGCTATGTCCTTTTAAAAATTGCACAATGGGATTTTTAGTTCTTTGAAATTAAACACTTAAATTAAACGATAAACAATAGATGATGATAGGTGATATAACTGGGAATATTATTTGGTGAATACATCTTCATTCTCAGTGCTGCCAATAGGGCTATAGTTATTACCGTTTTTATTTGTTTTATTTTTATATTATTACCCTTATTACCCTTTATATTTATATTATTTTTGCCAATAATAAACCAAATATTGTATCTTTAGTGACGGTGGAACTAACAATTCAGATGCCATATGAAGAGCTTATGTGAGCAGTGTTTCATCTTCTCAGGCCGACTTATCATCACACTGATAAGGTTTTAAATCAATAGGTCATTGAAAGCATGCATAATTTTAAATGTATAAATGTATACAGTATTCTGGATTAGGGGATGACATGGTGGTACATGCCTTTCAATGCTGGGACTCTGGGTTCAGTTCTGGACCAAGGATGCTATCCGAGTGGAGTTTTTATGTTCTCCCTATGTTCTTGTGGGTTTTCCCCAGGTGCTCCCGTTTCCAAAGACTTTCTGGTTGGTTAACTGGCTGCTTGGAAAACTGTGCCTAGGTGTGAGGGGGAGTGTGTGGGTCTTTGTGTGTCCTGTGATGAACTGCCATCCTGTCCAGAGTTTATCCTGCCTTGCTCCTGTTTCCTGCCAGGGGCTCCCCTGCAACCCTTTATCCTGTATTGGATAAAGAGGTTAGAAAATGGATGGATCAGTATTTGTATTAGTATTTTATGAATGTATGTATTTGTATTTTAACAGGAAGGAGACCGGTCTGCAGATTTATTCTAAGGGATAACAATATACTGAGCACAAGTCATGAGATTTCATCAAAATTCCAGTGCTTGGTATTTGATTTGAATTACAGGTGTCTGGATTAATGCATTAAAAATGCATTTAAAAAGCCATTCAAAAGAAATGATTTTATTTTATGGAAGAATACTGAAAGACATGACTCTGCCAGAGAAATGAAGATTGCCTGTTTGCTGTTAACATGATTGAAGGCAGCCTGTCTGTAACAGAGTATTCAATCATTGAGGAAGTTAAGGGTAGGCCACCTGGAAGTCACCACACCAGCACATTGGCCACATTGGTCTGATCCATCTGTAAAACTGTTTTAGACTGTGGTTGGCTGCAGTATGATTCCAGGGGGAAAAAAAGGTTGAATGTCTGTAAAAATGATTTGGTTGCTTGGAGACTGTTCAGGGGCAACGTTCATTTATTCAAAAATGAAAAATGATATTTTGCACCTGACAGGCTAGACAGAAGACAAATTTTTGTCAAGACATGTTGGGAGCTGTGCTGACTGCTGCATTTTTCTGACTAACCCTGACTGGTCAGCCACTTCCAGCTGGCTGCTAATGCAACAGGAGAGTGACATTAAATTCCACAGCCATCTATACAGAGGCTGATCGAGGCTAGGTGTCAACACTGCCAGGATCAAGCTAATACTCAGGAGGTCAAGCACAATGCAAATTTCTAATATATTTTTTATCCATCAATATATTCTCCATGATAATTTTTTTAATTAAAAGCATTATAGAGCTGTGCACAATTTACAAATGTAAATCTCGCCAAATGAAGCCCTTTATGATTATCAATTTTGCCACTATGAATTAAAGCTGATCAAATAAGAAAAACATTCTCCAGTTGCGAATGTGTCAAAATACACATTTTTGAAAGTGTTCAAGATTCAATTTTTAAAACCAGGGCTAAAGATCATACAGCACAGAAATCCCCAATGAGCACAAAAAGAAATCTGATGGAGTATAACATTAAGAAAAGAAAAAAACTTTTTTTATGTTTTTTCCTACCTAATCAAGCAGCATTTTCTGTTTATCTGCTGCAGTATGATTTGGTGGAGACGGTGTGTGTGCAATCAGCTGCTGCGACTCACACCCACAGCACTTCGGTGCTGCTGTAAGGAATTCATGAGCTATTCTCACTGCACAATGTGTTTGTCACGAACAGTTCTTTCCGGGCCCTATGCAGACGACACGATCCGGATTAGAGAGGAAACACTTGGGAAAAAGCCATGCAGGAGAGGGTATGGAGACAGGGGGCGTGTCCAAGGGGTGCAGGTGTCCAGGGGTAGTGATTCCGGGGCGAACAATCCATGTAAAAGTCCAAACGGGTAAACAAAGACAGAAGCAAGAGTCCATAGCCAGGCGATCCATCCAGGGGTTAAAACACGGGAACCGGGTAGGAGGGGGATCAGGAACAGAAGGTTAAAATCATAACGGAGCCAGACATAGCAGGACCCGGGCTCTCAGGAAACAGGATTCAATGAAGAGCCTCGAGTGACATCTGCGTCTGGCTTTTAAGGTGGAACTAAAG